CTCTGCTTGCAGTAGGATCGAGAACAACTCGGCACCAACGATGAGGTCAATGCCGGAGGGTGGAGGGTAGTTTTATACATATATTTACTTCAAAAATCAAAAGAAAAGTTAATCGATGGAGCCTTGAGTGTATAATTTGAACGCATTTTCGCTTGATGCCCTCCATCAAAGTCTTTACAGTGTCATCCGGTACCAGTTTCTCAGTTTTTTTTTCCATTTTCTTAACATGTCCTTCTCGTCTTTGACTGTCTTCTTGCTCTTCCGAAGTTCCCGCTTCATTATTGCCCAGTACTGCTCCACCGGGCGCAGCTCCGGACAGATTGGCGGATTCATGTCCTTTGGAACAAAATGGACAGAATTGGCCTCATACCACTCCAGGACACTTTTAGAATAGTGGCATGATGCCAAATCTGGCAAAAATAGCGGAGCTTCGTCGTGCTGCTGCAAGAACGGCAAAAGGCGCTTCTCGAGGCACTCAGATTTGTAGATCTCGCCATTTACTGTGCCCTTTGTCACGAAAGGCTCACTCCTCAGTCCGCAAGAGCAGATGGCCTGCTAAATGAGATATTGGGAGGCGAACTTCGACATTTTCTTCTTCTTAAATTTGTCGTCCACATCGAACTTGCTCTTGCCGGTGAAAAACTCCAACCCCGGAATTTGCTTAAAATCGGCTTTTATATACGTTTCGTCGTCCATCACACAGTCAGCATCTTCTCGTAGAGCTTCTGTGCCCGAGTTTTAGCCGTCGATTGTTGCCGCTCATCGCGGTTTGGGAATTTCTGTACCTTGTATGTATGTAGTCCAGCTCTCTTCTTTGCATTCTGGACGTAGCTCTGCGACATGCCGATCTTTTTAGCCAAATCACGGCTTGAGACGTTGGGATTTGCTTTAATCATCCGCTTCACCTTTCCTTCCGTCTTTTTGTTCTCCGGTCCCGGTTTTCTTCCAGCTCCTTTGCCGTGGTCCAACGTCAACCGCTCATGGAACCGCTTCAACACTCTGGAGACGGTTGAATGGTGAATGTTCAACATTTTTCCCAACTACCGGTGCGACAGATCAGGAAATTCCAGGTGTTTGGAAAGAATCTGTTCTCTCAACTCGCGTTGGTTCACCTCCATTTTCGTTGAATCGAAAAACACGACTTCGAGTTTGACAGCATGTACACAATACACATCAATGAGAAAGTGTGCAAAATTTGGTTGATTTTTACCCAATGGTAAAAAAAAGTTATGCCCTGTTGAATGTGTCGCAATAATTTCGTGTTCGCCCTTTATTCAACGCAAACATAAAATCTTCGAATGGTTTGCATTCAATTACATTCAACTATCGCAATTTACGCAATGAATCGAATGGAATTCAATCAGGTCAAAGAGACTAAGAAATATTGCATCTGTAAATATGCAATATCCCAAGTAGCATTTCTTGTTTTATTGCACTCTATTAGTGGTTATTGAGATCAATTTCATAAAACCGCCAATAAAATTAATAGCTCCAGCACAACCTTTTGATAACCGCTATAAGATCGTCATACAGCTTAGTGGACCACTCTTGATAAGGTTTATAAAGCATGTTTGAGAATCACAATAAAGCTGTCTTAAAACCTTTTGTCAGGAAGCCTCATACTCTACAAAAGGTTCTCATAGCCTCTATAAGAGTAATATTGTATCCAAGCAGTTTTATTACGCTTTGGTGAAAATCAGTTATAAAGCCAATTTAATTTTTATTGGCTTCAAAGCAACCGCCATAAATTAGCTTGTTGTTGTTCTGTTCTGCTGAAACTTTTTTTCCAAATGGAAATCTTTAGCGGTAAAAATATGTTTGAGTGTTGGTGTCAAGATCACCATGCCATCAATTTTGTTTCATGGCGACATTAGTGAAAATTTTAAAGAAAATATATGACTTTTTAGAAGTTCCAAAACATATGCGCTTGAAATGTTATCGTGTATATTGAGATAATATGAGCGTTAAATAAATGCGCCTCCAAAATAATTCAAGTTAACAAAAAAGATTGTTTCAGAAATCAAATGAATTTGATGGAATTACCTTAATTTTACAGAAAATTGATCTCAATACACAAATTCATACCAATGCACACTGGAAATCATTTCGGATCTCTTATTTAGCCATTATTTTATTGAAATTTCTTGGATTTTATTCCAAGGCTAATGGCATTTTCATAATGACAATATGGCGACAGAGGACAGCAGGCAAGAAAAACACCAAGCGCAATTTCTTAAAATGTCTAATGCTTACATTGCACACTGGGTCAGGAATGCAACCTAGCGGATCAAAATTAATAACTCCGAAACGAAGCATTTCCGCGACTTGGTGTCTTCAGCAAAATTTCTCGTCATAATAAGGACCATCTATTGACATAAACAAATAGTTCAAAACTCTTCCGCAAAGATGGTGCCACAATCTAACTTCTTTCTCTGACGTTTTGGAGACTTGATGTTTTGGGCAAAGTTGTTTATCTTGACAAAATAAACAGCTATTTCGAAGACGTTAAATTTCTACTGTCTACTGGTTCCAAGTTATATGGAGTTAAAGAAAAAAATGTTGAAAATATGGTTTTTTTTTCCTGTTTCGGTTTTTTTTGCTTACAGCTTTATAATGTTTTATTATTCTCTTATGCAAATACATTAAATAAATAGCTTTTGTGAAGAAACATACTGGATTAAGCTTAACATTTCAAAGATATTGTTAAAAAAACGAGAAAAAAAAAAACACAATTTTTGAACATTAATATCTCCCAAAGCGCAAAAAATCGCAACCTGTCGACTTTCTCTTTCGTTAATAACTTATTCACAGAACCGTTTCTTGATGTGTTTGTCGTATTGGATGCTAGATAATAGCTTTTTTTATCGATTTATGTGCTGAAAATACCTGGGAATGTCTTTACATGACCGTGGGGATGCAAAGAGAAAGTTGACGAAGCGAATCTGTCAATATTACTTAGAACCTAATGCAATGTTCAGCTTGAATTCATTTTTTTATTTGAGGGCAAATGTATATTCCTATTCTACGGGTGCAACCGATGAATTTTACAAACATTTAGAAAAGTTTTGAATGGTACATTAACCTTTATGAAAAGTTATGCGTGATTTCAACCTTTTTGCCCTAGGACTGTCACCATTTCGACCAAGATTCGACCGTGTCACCCCATGTATATGCGAGCGAGACGTATACACGAAATGTTTTCATGTTCATGCTAACAATTGTGTTGATTTTCTTTGCGCTCCGCTTGGAAGTACCGGAAAGTTTTGATTCTTTTCTATGTTGTAAAAATAAACCACCTATTTACATTTCTGACAAGTCGCAACTGAATGCTTATAATTGTTTCAAAATAACAGTTTCATGGCCAACTAGTTTTATTGCGCTTATTTATAAAGCAACGAAAGGATTAATTTTTTGGTTTTATAAGGGCAATTTATATTACTTTTTTGTATACTTCAAAGCAATCATAAAACCTTTCATAAGTGAAAATAGCATAAGCATCAGTTGGTTTTTTAATTAGCATTATAGGGGTTTTGTAGATAGCTATAAGAATGTTTCATGACTTGCATTGTATATGACCGTCATAAAGCTGTAGGTAATGGTTGCAGCTGCAATAAAACCTTTATAAATTTGGAATATAGCCAAGCAGCTCTAGATTTGTTACTTGGGATTACTGGTTAATAATGCTCTTGATTGGCTTCTGAACGGCTTGAAAATGCTAGTTAAAAAAAACCTTCGAAAGCCCCCTGTAGAGCTGGTCGAAAAAAGAAAGGCCGCATTATCCGATGTCAATCATACAAGGTCTGTAACAGCAGGCAGCTTGCTGGTGTTAGAAGCAGAAATTTTGTAAACATTGCTGCCCAAGCGAATGACGACGTTACGTCAGCACAACATTCCATACGGCGAACAGCAGACATGACATCACAGGCAACAGCTGTTTCGTGTAAAAAGATATACTCTTAGGTGAAATACGAACACCACCTTCGACATTCAACTGTGTAATACCAATAAGTCAGTTGGGCCAGACCTTGTATGATTGACATCGCGCATTACCCTGACAATTTACAATTTACCTTCACTCTATCCCATCCGCAATCGTCAGTCTGTGCGTGAAACTTGGTGGACATTTCATATGAAAATCGCATAAGATACTATCAAGCTTTGTGTGAAGAGATGGTGGCTCGCTGGTTCTATGGTGGAGTGAAGAGATAAGACAAAGTCCGCTAGATTTCATGCACATATTTTCAGATGCTTATGGGATTTTACCAAGGAGTGAAGAGTTGCAGGGTCGTCGTCAACGTCAATGCTTACTGAACATGCAACCATATATCTGCTTTTCTTTCATAAGAGCTAATGTCGCAAACGTAAACTTTTTCTGCGAATTTCCCGAGAATGAAAAACCACTCAAACCAACCAAACGTAAACTGTGTAGAGGGAGTTGAATGGAATTGGAATTGATGGCTTATATGGAATGACTATACCAGTTATACCACTGAGGCAACACAAAAAGGGGTCAACTTTTAGAAAGTTATTTTGCATGCAGTTCCACATAGCAGGTAAGCCGCAACTTACAAACTATCCAAATTTGGGTAGAATCCAAAATGGGTAAACTATGTTGGGAGTGATAAGTTGACAAGTGTCGATCGGATTCATGTCGATGTTGTCCATTTGTCAACTTGTCACTGCCAACATAGTTTACCCATATTTGGGTAGCTTCAGTTTTGACCGATCTGAGTGGATTCTACCCAAATTTGGGTAGTTTTGAAATAGCGTGTGATTTAATTAAAGTTCGAAAAAGATTCAGACTTTTGAAACTCCATTAAAAACGGCTTAAAAAGATACACCAGTCGTTTTTTTTTTGTGCCTTTTTTTGGTCTTTTTTATTGAACTCGTATTTTTGTCATAGTTTACAGCCTTGATTACAAATAAAACATTAATAGTACACATAAAATAAATGAAAAGAAAAATAGAGGTTCTTATATATGTTCCACATTATCTGCGTGTTGCTTGTTTTTTTTTTCTTTCTATAATTATTAAACTCTGTTCACATTTTCTCTTTTTTTCTTTCTGCTATCGTCTGTATGTATGTGTGTGCTATCTTAAAAATAATGGGTTAGTAAATTTTCTAATTTTTTTACCTGCGCATCTTCTTCTTCTGATTTGTCGAATTAAAAAGTTGCTATTACGTAAAGCTAAAGTTAAAAGTTTTCTTTGTCTTCTATACCATGAATTCTGGTTTTCTGGATGTTATTGTCAGCTGTTGTTGTCGCCATAAAATGATGTTGATTGTGTTTTCTTGGAGAGGAGCTACCACTGTCTGTGTTTCGTCTATTTACAATTTTTCCGTCAAATTTCAGTGTAGTTCGGTCTACTCTTCTTACATTTACATGTCTACTATTGCAAAATTGGCAACTCGGAGAAAAATAAGCCCTGCAACTGACGACCGCAGTAGGCTGTTGAGGTTGCGGCTGTCAAAAATCCGATGTAATGTGCTAATTTTCCTCTGAGATGGCAATATTGAATTGATGTTTATATTTGCTTCTGTATGCTTTTGTATTGAGTCTTATTGTTCTTGGTTCGAGAACAGTTGATCGATTGATTGATTGTAAGTCATTGTGCGTTGTCACGATTGGTCGATTGTTTGTTTTGGTCTTGAATGTCTAATTGATTGAAAGAGAGATAAAACCGCTATTGAATGTCCTAGCAATTGTTGTTTGCAGTTTGCCTTCTGCGTTCGTTGTTGATTTCATCGATGTTGTTTGTTATTAGTTGTTGTTGTTGTTGTTGTTCTTATGAGGGAGGTCGCCAAATAAAGTCATTTGTATGTTTTTTTTATCATCGAATGTCGAAATCCTTGATGCTGTTGTCTAGTTGTTATTGCTTTGAATCATTTCACTTAAGCCTATATCCTGGCTAAGGCCAAGCCACCTGCTCGCCGGTTGCATATTAGCGCTGTGAATGAAGGAAGAAACAATAGAAATGAAATCATTTGCATGGCTCAATTTTTTTTTGTGTGACACTTACACGGACAGCGAAGTCGCGGGTGTACAGCTTCCTGGGAGTGACACCGTAGGTATCCTTGCTGACGGTGTTGTAGTGGTATCCGGGGGAGTTGATGCGGTCGACGGCGTGCAGAGAGTCAGAGTAGATGCTCGAGCTTTCGTAGGAAGAGCTATAGGTCTTCTTCTCCTTGGCCATGATGTCCTGGGATCCTGTGGAATTTAAGTATTTTTTTTACTTAACTGATCACTTGTCGGAAGCACTTCGGAAACTTACCCTTCAGGGACTTCAGGTAGTTGTTGAAGAAGCGAGCCTTCTTGCTGATTGGCTCGTAGCTTCCGATCATTTCCAGGTGTTGCTTGAACATTTTCGTTTGACTTTAGTTACTTTTGGCTGCAAATACAAAAACAAACAAATGTCAAAATTAGCATCAACCATACATTCGAAATGCAATACATCGCAGACAGAGAATGATTCATTGGTTCCTGGGAGCAATGCAGTAGGCGCTGTATTTCTTTTGCCAGCCTATTTCGTTAAAATCCATATTTACATTTTCATGCATTTTTAACTACCTGAAAAAAAGCATCCCGAATAAAGCATAATAAATCTCGGGCTATTTTTCAGCACGCCGCACTTAATTTACCCCCACCGAACAAATTGCAGTCTCAGATTTCGCGGCGCTTGCCAGATCCGCATCCTACTTCTCTTAGCCGCCCTGTCGTACAGAAAAGATAGTGTACAGACGCCTATGTATGTCTAGCTGGCTGGGTGCTCTTTTCCCGGCCGCGACAGAAACACAAACTCAAAACGCACTCTCATTTGCTAGGGGCGAGAACCGCCAGCAGCCAGCCGAAAAGAGGAACGACCCGGTCATTAAATGTGTCTGTTTTGATGTTTTTTTTTACCTTCATCTTCTTCTCCTAGCACATCCAAGTAGTCGGGCAGCCAAGATTGAATAACTCGGGACCGAGCAAAGAAAAATTACATCATAGCGCCATCTGCTTCTGTGCGAAAGTGGCATGACTTGCTGCGACCGGTTCACAGCAGCAATAGGGTTTTTAAATTCAAACATGAAAAAAGTTATTCGAATTTTTCGAACGATTAATCTTTTCAAACTATGTTTTTTACTCGAAAATATAAAGTAAAAATCCATTTTGAATGCATTGTTTTATTTCCGTGACCACTGCGATTTGCAGCATCGGAACCATGCCGCCAAATTCTCGGGAAATTCATTTTCCACCAACATTGCACACATTGCTTTCCTACCTACGCTGATGCAGTAGGCAGGCAGACCCGGGTCGTCGGAACGCACTCTCAAAGATATGTTATTTTTAAAGTTATGCAAAATCTCGGTACGCCGCTGCCGGTGGTGCCGCGGCCATTCCTCGACCACCCGTCGAGGGCGCTGAAAAATTGCATGCATTGCGTTGAACATGTTTACCCCCCTCGGGCACGGCAGGGGCATGAGGTTGCATGTTGTTCTTTTACAAGTCTGCTGACGCAGCTGACGGCATACAGATCTGCGAGATAAGATGTAGCACCGGGGCTCAGAGGATGATTTCTCATCTAGCTGAAATAACTTGGCGAAGGCAAACGGTCTCGGGTTGCTTTGGCAGCAGCAGAATTTCGATTGGGATGATGAATCATGCCTGCTTTGATTGGCAGACTCTCTCGGGCTGGTTGAATGTGAGTACCAAACTCTGCGGCTACTGATTATTGGTATGAACTGATGGAAACGCGTGGTACTTTTTCCAGCTAGTTGCATACTACATTCTACGTAAATTTGGCGAAACATACACGGTAAAAAGTTATCACATCTAATCCAAATGCTCTTGCACTTGACTCAGTCTGTTATGCGGCACTACGAATCGAAGTGATTTATCATTGATTTTCAAGTTATTTGCGTTTGGAAACAAAGTGATTTGTCGTTGAAAAATATGTACTGTATAACACCTTTAAATCAAAATGATTATCATTTGAATTGGCACCACTGTTTTCATTCATTGAATTTGATTAGTTTTGCTTTTGGAATGACATTTTTGTAATTGCGGATCTTAAAACTAGGTGTCGCATGACCAGTTTTGGCTTTGCTTTGATTCGCCAATTCTTATCATTAGGATTTTTGGCGAAAATGAGTTATACCATTAAAGCGATTGTCAAGTACTAACACTTTATAGTGTATACGAAAAGTTTTCTAATTTGTTCAGACAATGTCGTGAAAAATACCAAAACTGTGTTGTCCCATCCATAAGAGCCCATGGAGAAAGAAAATCGTCAACAGCGTTTTTCTCGACTAAGGGCAGTATAGAACTAATCGGAAATTCGATATGATTGAGGACAACCCGTATGGATACAAACAAAATGTTTGCAGTTCTAGCATGTTCCTCTTACTAACTAAATCGAAGGACTCGTCACCTGAAAATGATGGCTAAATCCAAAAAATGCTACATTTTTGATCATTCAGACTATACGGAACCTAAGTAGGGGTGACTATTTGCAGATATTTTCATTACCTTGGAATAACCAGAAAAACAAACATATCCGGAGAACAAACATTGTTCAGTACAAAAAGCTGGACCCTACCTATCGACCCATCAACTCATGGACCGGGGACTAACAACCTTACTTCCCTTCCGAAAGAAGGCGTGATCAGAGATTTTATGCATCAGAAAATCCCGACGGTACCGACTGGGATTGAACCCAGCCTCTTTGGAGTGAGAGGCAGTCACGATTACCGCTACACCACCGGCGCGCTAAGTATATTAGATTTAGAAAATACTTAGTTTTTCGATGACATTTAGAAATATTTGATGATATTTACGAATATATCTAGCGTTCAGAATCATAAGGACCAAACTGCGATGATCGATTCTCTTCATCGATTATCTCTTCGCATGACCACATTTAGTGATTAAATTATTCGAAATTTTCACCAGTGTTGGCAAAGTCATCAAAAAAATGATATTTTTCCGCTCTCATACTGTCTCAATATCAAGCATGATATTGGAAGAAAATATCATGCATGATATTGATTTTACAAGCTCCTTTGATATTGCGAGACTATTCACAACGTGTAAAGTTGAAGCTGAGAGATAAATCGATGCAAACATAATTCCGTTGCTCCTCGTTTTCTTAGAAAGAGAAGGTATAATAATCCTATCTCTTTTTTCTCTTCACCGATGGCAGACACGAAGCGACTGCTACCAGCCGTTATGGAAGTTAAAGTTGCGTTCGGGTGTAGCGCAAAAATCATGAAACTCAATCTCACCGCAGTTTGGTGAGATTTGCAGCTGGTGAGTTTTGTTAGCTTGATATTCCCAGCTGCGATATCACAGCTTGCAATTATCAATCACAGTTGTTTGCGTGTTGATTTTCGTCTATGAAAATCAAGCGTGATCTTCGGCTGAGATTTGATTCTTCGATATTTTACCAACACCGATTTTCACACTACAGTGTAGTGAAAAGTTGTATTGGTAAATTTTTTTTTATCAATTTGGTGTGCTGAAATACATGTTTCAGTACTACGTCAAACCATTGAGTGAAAATAATTCATCAATCTATAATACAAATATTATACTGCATACAATACAGGATACCATGATTTTGAATCACAATACTGAACTTATAACATTCCACAAAACACACCTTCATAAAGTTACATGATTATCATTCTTCTTTCTAAAGTTCATATCAAAGTAAAATCATAACTGATGTCCACTCTTGATGAATGAATCCAACTTCCATCATAAATCAAAAAAAGCTCTGGAGCGCCATTCCATCCTCTGCTCGAATCTCGCAAATGTATAAATGGCAAGCTTCAACCCACACACTTTGCTCAAAAATTCGGCGCCGTGAAAAAAAAACTTTCATCAACTGCCCTAGCCCAAAGCACAAAAGTAGAGAGAGAGTCGGATTATTTTTATGCTACCGTTGCGTTCGCTAATGGTGCCAGAATAGCCCGGCACTAAAACAAGGCCCCACCCGAGATATGGGTGTGAGAGTGTATTTTTTTAAAAATAATATCAAACAAACCCAATATCATCGAGGAATGCGCGAAAAACCGACTAATTCGTGGCCGTCCAACACTCGCTTCTTCTTTTTTTTCTTCTTCGAAAGTGAGCGTGTGACGAACGAGAAACTCAAGTGATTTCTGACGGGAAAAAGCGCACAATTTTCTCACCGCTCGTCGAAAGCGATTTTCCCGGTGAGGGGCACCAAATTTTAAATAGATCATGGCTCTTTGCAGACGCAAAAACCCCTCGAAATGCGTACATTATGAAACGTCGAAAGAGTAGGTACTCTCGACTCCGACTCGTCCGACCCATCAAAGCAGGCCGTTATTTTTAGAAGCACACACTCACAGCCGAAGCAAAATCACCTCAAAATTCATAAAAAAAAATCCGGGGTCCAATCTGGATGGCAACATAATTTTTATTTTGCAGCCGAACATTAACCAAACCGAACCACAAATGATGTGACCCACAAGCTACGGGCTTCCAGTTGGTTAGTCTCAACAAAAAATAAATAATTAATCCAGATCCAATCCACACAAACACTTGATTTAAATTGCCAATTTGTCACGCTCGTTGTGCAAAATCGGTTCTGCTATTGGCATATTATTTGGTTTTAGCACTTCACTGTGACGGACTGCTTTTTGCTTCGATTTAATTAATTTTATTTTGCACCTCACTTTTCACGCCATTCGACAGACACGGACAGACAGATCGACGCAACCATCAGGCCGCAAAAATTCCTCACAATCTGATTTATTTTTAAATTCGAAATTAAATTCCGCTTTTGAAACGGGATTAACTTTTGCAACCAGGCTGGTATTAACTCCCCCTGTAAATAATATATACATCCGTGACCAATCATTCCATCACTAGCCACCCACTTTTCCACCCACAAATGAAAAACACACTTGATCTCAGCAAGCATCGACTGGAGCACGTAGCAAATGCTTTCCCACCACGCCTGCTGCGCTAAACAACTCCAGACGTGGGCCGATCATCGTCCTTCAAGCAAGCTCACTCTTTGCGGCTATTCTTCACACCACTGTCTTCTCCACGCGGTCCCATCTCCAAAAATCCATCCACCAGGCAACCAATGAATCTAACCTCCACCTACTCTTTTTTTTTTTCTTTTCTTCGCACCGTCGATCAAATAAGAATTAATATGAAAAATGCACAACGTACCGGTCCTCGGTGAAATTCAACTGTTCTTTTTGCAAGATATCTCAAGACTGATTAGAGTGATACTGGCGGGGCACTAAAAAACCCCTCTCAAAAAGTCGTTTTAACTTGTTTGTGTATGTGAAACGGACGGGTTTGCCCCCGTTGCCCTTCATCCCTGTAGCGTCTCCTGTCCTCCGAGCCCACCACCCGTGTCACGCGTGATGGTGAACAAACTTCGTGAACGGGACCACTAAGCCAACCAAAAACCGATGACGATGACTGCGATCATCATTGATCACAGACAGTGCACTATGCTGCCTACATACATAATGAGGTTCACGGTCTACGCTCTAATTGGTATTGGTGCGCGGGTATGGATCGGGAATCGATTTGTTTAAAAATATCTCCCACTCCCACTCGCCTGGCGGCGGCGGTGGTGACGGCGGTGAGGATCACGTTTGGCAGCCGAAGCTCAGGTGGAAGGTTTTTTTTTTGTTTTCGCGGGAATGTGAAAAACAGACAAAGGAGGCGACGGCGGTAACAATGGAGACGACCAGCGGAATGCGTTTGCGAATCTTTGCTCTTTCGACGGGGGATCAAAGTGTGCTGGTGCGGGTGCCAAGGGCGAACTCGTGGCGGTTATGTGCGTCTCCCTATCAAAAGCGTTTCAGTGAACTTGATTAGAGTGGTGGGACAGGTGGGTTGATAGTGATTTATTACCGACAAAGGGGGAGCTTTGTTTACGTTTTCAGTGGTTTGCGTAGGATTTTCGGACGGATTTGCCCAAGTTACATTCTCAAAGTCTTAGGCCTTTATTTGAGCTCTATTAATGTGTTATGAAAGCAACTATTATTTCATTTGGTTTTATTCAAGCCGGTTGGTCATTCCTCACTTATGTGTTATAAAATATTTTACAACGTTTGTTAGTCTGTAGCAAAGCATTAATTCTCATCGAGCGATTAGCTGTAAGCAAATGTTTTATTATTATTGTATCGCCTTTTGTTCGGCTGCCCGGTAAAACTATTGTAAAACAAACAATTTTTTTTTACTATGGCTTTGAGAGAGAACCTTATGAAAATATTTCATCGCTAATTAATTTATTTTAAAACATCAAGGATAAACTTAAAACTGAATAGTTTCATTTGGGCGAATGGGTGAAAAAGTACCCCATGATTTCGTGTACAAGCTCTTTACCATTAATGGGAAAAGACATTTTACCTATTTAGAGCGTACTTTCTAGTTAATTCCAATGCAATTCCAACGTGGCGAAATCTTAAACCCCTACCCGGCGTGCGATGTTTACCCACGTACCGTTCCAGCGCACTTGCATAACGGGATGGCTGCAACTGCATCATGCGAGGCGTGTGTATGCAGGAATTCGTGTTTTGTACGAAATTGACGCACCCCTTGGAGGAAGACAATGATCCGGCAGACCCTGACATTATCCAGGACTTGACGACTTCTCTACATCAAGAAGAGGCACTCGTTTTTTCTACAAAACTGACACGCTCCATAGAGGAAGAAAATAACGAAGATCACGACGCTTTGCAGAACGAAACAAATTCGGAACATGGATCAGGGGTAAATAATTTTGATAATAGTTTTATGAATGCCAGGTTACCATCAACTTCTTCACCTAATCTTCAGACCAGTACAGAAATTTTGGTATATTGCCAAAATGTTAACCGCATGAGAAGCGCCGGTAAAATGAATGAAATTAACAAAAATATATTAAGTTCTACTTACTCTGTCATAATGGCTAATGAAACAAGTTGGGATGATAGTGTGAGAAGTGAAGAAGTTTTTGGTAACAATTATAACGTTTATAGAGACGACCGCAATTTTCAATGGTCTGGAAAAAAATCGGGAGGTGGAGTATTAATAGCTATTTCGACCAAATTGAATTCAGAAATCATTATGGCTACTAAATTTAAAGAATTTGAACATGTATGGGTAAAAGCGCAAGTAGCAGATGAAACTCATGTCTTTGCTTCGGTATACTTTCCTCCGAACAATGCTCATAAGGACACGTATGATAAGTTTTTTTGAAAAGCGGAAGAAATTTTGTCTAGTTTACCCCCTGAAGTAAAAGTTCATATATATGGGGACTTTAACCAACGCAATGTTGACTTTATTTCTGATATGGACAATGAAAGCATCTTACTTCCAGTCGTTGGGGAAAATGAAACACTCCATTTCATTTTTGACAAAATTGCAAATTTAGGACTTAATCAAATTAACCATGTGAAAAATCAACAAAATTGTTATTTAGACCTTTTATTAACAAATACTTATGAAGATTTCTGTGTGACTGAATCGTTAAGTCCCATATGGAGAAATGAAATGTTTCACACAGCAATAGAATATTCTTTATTCGTTCACATAAATGAAAGAACCAACGACTGCGAATTTGATGAAATCTTTGATTACAATTCAGCAAATTATGATAACATTAGAAATAGACTGAACATTGTCGATTGGCAAGCAATATTAAGAACTGCAGGAAATGTTGAATGTGCAGTTGACGTATTCTACAATGTGTTGCGTGAAATAATACTTGAAGAAGTGCCAACTAAAAGAAGAAGACGTCAGAGTCATGCAAAACATCCGGTTTGGTACAACAGGGAACTGAAAAATTTAAAAAATCAAAAGCAAAAAGCGCACAAATTTTATAAAAAATATAATAGTGAAGAAACTTTGGCATACTATTTAGACATTTGCGATCAGTTAAATTTAGCCGTGAATGTGGCATTTGAGGAGTACAATTTTAAAACTGAACTTGAAATAAAATCTTGTCCTAGGAAATTCTTCAATTATGTGAAAACCAAATTAAAATCTGATAATTTTCCATCAAAGATGCATTAGGACGATAGGGTAGGTGAGAACTCGGATGATATATGCAATTTGTTTGCAAATTTCTTCCAAGAAATCTATACTACGTTTTCAGAAGAGGACCGTGACCGTGAATATTTTGAATCTTATCCAGAATTTTCAAGTGACATCAGCGTAAGTCAAATCAAGGTTCATGATATCTTAAAGGGTTTAAACAATTTAGATGCATCTAAAGGTCCTGGCCCTGACGGTGTTCCGCCAGTTTTTATGAAAGCTTTAGCAACTGAACTTACTGCTCCATTATTTTGGATTTTCAATATGTCACTGGAATCCGGAAACTTCCCTAAAATATGGAAAAACTCGTTTTTAGTGCCCATCTTTAAATCGGGCAAAAAATCTGACATACGTAATTATCGTGGTATAGCTATTATCTCTTGCATTCCGAAACTTTTCGAGGCGATTGTAAATGAAAAACTCTTTCTTCAAATTAAAAACAGAATAACTACTATGCAACATGGCTTCTTTAAAGGCCGTTCAACAACTACGAATTTGCTCGAATTAATTAATTATTCGTTGAATGCAATGGATAACGGAAACCATGTAGAAGTGTTGTATACAGATTTTAGCAAAGCGTTTGATCGAATTGACATACCCATGCTTCTTTTTAAACTTCAAAAAATGGGAATTCATTACGCACTCCTCAAGTGGCTTGAATCATATTTAACTGACCGCCATCAAATAGTAAAATACAAAGGAAAGACATCAAATCCCGTTGATGTCACTTCTGGAGTTCCTCAAGGCTCCCATTTAGGACCGCTTTTATTTATTCTCTTCGTCAATGACATATCTTTCATTATTAAGAAATTGAAAGTTTTAATCTATGCTGACGACATTAAACTTTTTTTGGAAATAAAAGATGCCAAAGACATCATCACATTCAAAGAGGAAATACAGATATTCCATACTTGGTGCCAAAAAAGCCTGCTACAATTAAATATAAAAAAATGTAACTCAATTACCATTAGTAGAAAACGAACCCTACCCGATATAACAATCACTTTAGGAAACCATATCGTAGAAAAGTGTGATAGAGTCAGGGATCTAGGTGTTATTTTGGACTCAAAACTTACTTTCACCGATCATTATAACACAATTATTAACAGAGCTAACAACATGCTTGGTTTCATAAAACGTTTCTGCTATAACTTTCACGATCCGTATACGATAAAAACATTGTACATTGCTTATGTAAGATCGATATTAGAATATTGCAGCATAGTTTGGTCACCTTTTTCAATCACACACGAAGAAAGAATAGAATCCGTTCAAAAGCAGTTTCTATTCTATGCACTCCGCAAGTTAGGTTGGACTGTATTTCCTCTGCCATCTTACACAGCTCGGTGTATGCTCATAAATATCCAAACATTAAAAGAGCGTCGTGAATTTGCTATGATTTCTTTCGTAAACGATATCGTATCACATCGCATTGATTCTATAGAACTATTGTCATCCTTAAATTTATATACACCATCTAGGCATTTACGAAACAGAAATATATTTGCTACAAATCGTCATCGTACGAATTATGCCAAATTTGGACCCTTGAACCAAATGATGGATACATATAATAAGCACTGCGATAACATTGACTTTACAATGACAAAAACCAAATTAAAGCAATATTTTAATTCCTCGCATAACGTCAGCTAGAAGTAATGTTAAATATAAACAAAGACAAAATTGTAAACATAGCTCTTAAGACAACAATTGTAAAACGGTCTACACTGATTGACGACAAATAAATAAATAAATAAGTTACAGTGTAGAGCTGTAGAGGCTTATTTATTCTAAGCAAGAAAAATCAAAAAAATATTGCATCATTTGCTTAAAATCACTGGTACACGGTCACTAAGAATAACTCAGAGAGAGATAGAGTCACTTTTACTCAAAGGTATGAAAAATTTCCAAAAGCTGCAGGAAGCCTGCTTTGTGTTCCTGCAGTTTTTAGAAATTTCTCCATATCTCTGAGTTGAAGTGACTTTCTCTCTGAGTTATTCTCAGAGGCCATGTAAAAAGTCGTCTTAAATCTGCCCGACAATATGATTAAATGTGAATTGCTGCAAATAAGAAGGAATAAGTTAAGAATTCAAAATGGATGAGAGCTTTATTTGGTTTGATCGAGAAATAATGCTGTACGACGATGACAAGGTATTACTTTTCTATTTAATACCACGACAAACTTAGCAGCAAATATGATTGCTTGTAGGTAAT